AACATCAGTGGAAAAGGGCTAAAAGTGATAAATCTGTGGCATTAACTACTGCACTCCTTTTAATAGAATCCAGCATAAACTCGAAACAGCCTCGCGCTCAGCCTGAACCATTTATCTGGGACAAAAATGTCTTCTTGACAAAAAACAGATCTCCTTTAATAAAAGTAAGGCAGACAGTATTATGCTCCGAGGGAATCCTGTTGCTCTCTTTATATTTATATATAAAAAGAATTCTTCTGTAATACACGTAGATATAAAAAGTGAAGAAAATTGATGCCAAATATATGAGCATTAGAACATCAAAATTAACCTTTGTGAAAGCTGTTCTTATAAATAAAAGCACTGGTGTTAATGACCAGTGGAATTACATGTGTAGTTAAAGTTTTATTATTGAATACGCTTTATTCTTTTAGCTTTTTTTTTTTTTTTTGCTTTAAGACCAGTTCCACAGCAATTCCTGCTCCTGGTAAGAATCTTTATTTGGTTCAATCGTTATCAACTCCTTAGCAAATGAGAATGAACTTTTGAAACTGCAGCAGTCTGCAGCTTTTTTCTGAAAATTCCTCTTTAATGCAATAAAAAGTTAATAGGGACCAGAAAAAAAATGCACCAATCACATTTTAAAACATGAAAAGATCAAAATGTTATCTTATTTTTAGAAGTTATTTTTAAAATATTTCCTCGAATATTTTCACGTGTTTTGGATGATCTGTGAAAGCAACACGATGATACCTCGATCAATCACATCACTTTATCAAGAGCATGAAGAATCAAGTTTTGTATTTTTAAATGACCACATATTTCTTTGTCAAATACATGTTAGATGTTTAACAGATTTACATTCAGTCACAAAACTGGTGACTTTTCAGAAAGGTCATTATTGCAGACGACATGTGGGTGGCCTAGTTGATGAATTAATTAAGAATACAGAAACAAAGGTCGAAAGAAAATATTTTTTCTTTAAAACTCGAGCCCCTAAAGTCTTACACATTTAATTCCAATTACTGGAAAAGAGGACATCTGTACAGCTTTAGTTTTATCCATTTCGACTAATTAACAGTTTCAAATAAATAGTCATTACATCTAACTGAAAAGTTTGCTAACACTTCATTAGAAGGAAGTTTAAACAAGCACACAACCTTGTTAACATATTTTGGTTTACCACAAAGTTACTTGGGCATCTCGATAATTATTTTTACTCCCTTTAGAAATATATCATGACAGCCAACTTCAATAATTCTACATTCCTTTGCATTTGTTTAATTACTTCATAATTCAAATTTTCTTCGAGTACCACCAATTTGGAAAGTAGGAGCTATCATATAAACGACTGCTGGGTATGAGATTTCACTACAATATCTACATTCATCAGGTTATTAAAAATATTTTCCCTACGCATTTAATCCTGCAAGATTACATTAGAAGATTTCTTTGGTCTTTAATTGTGTATTTTTCAGTGGTAAGCTCGCATTTCAACCTCTACCATGGCAGCACAGAACGTTTCATGAAATGCATTGAGTTCCATCTCGCATTCGTTATATTGGATCTCTTTGAAACGGCAGATATAATAAAAAATTAGTGAAAACTTCAAGGTGTAGTTAGTGATTATGTTCAAAACATGTTCTTTAATCGCCCCACTAGCAGATAAATCTATATGTTCATACAGATGCACAGAGTGGCTCACTCCATCTTTAAAACATCTGTTGCTCTGCTCAAAGTGGACAAGCACACACATCATTACTTTGAAAGCCTTTAAATATATATATATTTATTAAAAAACAAACAAAAAAAACCCTGCTCTCTCATTGAAAAAAAGGGCTTAGTTCTCCTTCTAAAGGCATGCTTGCTTGCCTTACATTTACTGCCTTCTTTTTCCATTTTCTTTTCGAAACAGATTTCTTCCTTTTCTTACTAAATGTTATCTTAAAGATCTATTTTATTACTTGGAAATTGTTTTATTTCGTTACAACACCGAAGTTAGGCTGTGCAGGTAGATAGAAATTTTTATTGACTTGAAGGAGGTGAGGTACTCCTTTTGCATTAGGAGTCCACTGATGATAAGAAAACAACTCCTTTCTGCTTCTGAAACTTCTGAACTCCTTCCCCTCATTTACGATTAAGCTGACAACCTCTGAAAACCTGCACGCACACACAAATATATTTACGTAGTTGCTAAGACAAATCTCTGATGAAAGGGACGTGAGGTTTTCAAACTGTTAATTCAGTCCAGAAAACACTTGGTAGGCATTACTAATTCTTGTTGTTTCCCAGTCAGTCTAGGAAGACCAGTGCCTATAACAGGCATAGCCATAGAATCACGGAATGGTTTGGGTTGGAAGGGACCTCAAAGATCATCCAGTTTCAACCCCCCTGCCATGAGCAGGGACACCCTCTGCTACACCAGGTTGCTCAAAGCCTCATCCAACCTGGCCTTGAACACTTCCAGGGACGGGGCATCTACAACTTCTCTGGACAACCTTGTTCTAGTGCCTCATCATCCTCAAGCAAGTCCTTTCTCCAAAACATTGACTGATGCAGAGTCCAGCCTCGTCTATCTGCTCAGTTACTTTTCTATTTCAACCAAAGTGTCAGCAGTAAAGTCGTCTGGCTGACTACCACTAGCAAACCAATTTGCCACGTAAGAGGAAAATAATTCCAGAAATTACTAGGATGACGAAGCATGGACATTGCTCCAACAGCTGTACAGGTTTCAAATCAGCACGATGCTTAACTACGGGTTTACACTGAGGTATATGAGCATCCGTTTAGTTCAGGGAGATTACTCACAGCATTTCAAGGTCAGACTTGCTGAAACGCTTTCCTGAACTGAAACGTCCATCAATTATGCTATAAAAACTGGCAGGGACTACCCGGCTAGTACAGCTACGTGCCATCTACACGAGCGTGTCATCTCTTGCAGGCTTTTTTTCTTTAATGCCAGCGCGCAGCACGGGATCCCAGCCAGGCTCCGTGGGATGAGCCGATTCACACGCAACTGCCAAAACCCCAATCTGCCACGTCCACACGGGGCTGCGTGTGCAAAACCCTAACGCTTCCACCTGGCAATGGAAACACAGCTGGAGTGGTGCACGAGGGCTCAGCAGGGATTGCCAGCACACACGACACTCCGTGCAGCAGAAGATCCTTTACTGGGGCAGTGCTGAATGACAGTTTTTACTTAGACCATGTATAAAAAGTATTTATTTTTAATCCACTTTCTTTTTGCTAGATGCGCATTTGAGTAAGAAAAGATTAGTAGGAAGGCTTCTGTACCAAGAAAATGTAACAATGCAAAAGAAAAACTATTTTATTTTTCCTGGAAAAAAAACTAATGCTAATTCTGAAAGCAAGTCTCAGCACTGAAAATAAATTATTAATTTAATAGCATTTTAAAGCTTCAGATCACAAAAATGCGAATGGAAGACGTACAATTAGGATATCTAACTTAGAGCCTCCATCCCTAGAGATTCAAGACAAGAATTATTTTACTAGAACTGATGGCTTATTTATGTTACAGCAGCAGTATTTGGACAAGGCAAGCGTTATCATTTTTACTACTACTTTTCCATAGTGCCCTTTAGGCTTGATAGCTCCCTACTATTGTTAAGGTCAGAGGACAAGTTCATAAAACCTCTAAATCATACACAACAAGACTTAAAAACCTAAGATATATCTTTTTTTTTTTCCCCTAGGCCTATGCAGAAGAATCAAAGCACAGACAATGACTATCAGAAATAATGATCGCATTAAACAAGGCTTCATGAGAAATTTATGAAGCAAAATTTTTCTTTTTTTTTTTTCCTGCCAGTACACAAGAAGCCAAAAGACCCTTTTTTTCCAGGAAACAAAAATAAACCCTAACAGTTAACAGACTTACTTTAAGACCTGACTCTAAGATCTTAAATACGTTTTTTCCATTCTCTTTTTTTTTGTTGTTGTTGTTTTCTTTTTATTTTATTTCTGCAAGAAAAGGCCTATAATGTTATATGAACAATCCCTTTTCCATGTAACATTACTTGGCTAAGTACTTCCAAAACTAATTCTCAGGAACAACCACAGCTGAAACAGCATGCTGGGGTTTTGTTTGTTTTCAATCAAACGTTTTATTTTCCTCTCAGGTAAGAAAAGAACTTAACTACCGATTTGTCATTAATACCTCACTACCTTACCTGCAAATAAGCACCAGAAAGATAGGGAAAAACAAGAAAAAAAAAATTGTTTTTTTTTCTTTTTTAAATTCAATAAATATGAACATTGGCAAAAAAAATTTACAAAATAGTTACCAAATAATGAAGTACATGGGAGTCCTGCATAAGTACTGAATCCAAGGCCAGACACTTAAAAATGAAACGATTGATAGAAACTAACAAAAAAGACACAGGTATCTTCTGTGTCATAAAGACAGTACAAAACACCAAGTTAAAGCTTTTGTGACAATGGTTTGGACTTTTTAAACAAATTATTTTCCCTGACGCACTGTACTGCATGTTATCAGTGAAACAGTACACATGCCTCACAAAACAGCATCATGCTTGATTCCACTTTAGTTTTGAAATTTATGCAAAATTATAAGCTTTTATACTTAATATTCAACTTCGCTCGTCATCTTTTTTAAACTGGAATTCAACAATCCACCGTATTTCTAGACAACCACATTTTCCAGCCACGTTATATATTAAATAAATATAATCAGACTACATATACATTTCAACTGATCAGCATAAATCAATGTCAATTATGAGCAAGTGTTAGAGAGACAAAATGTGACACTTCACACTTGATCTTGTCAAAGTGTCACATAAATATGTTCTAAGGACAATATATATTTTGGCTTAATTTCAGCCCCAAATAGGACTTCATCACAGCTGCGCGTGTGCGTAAAAGTTTTTGACCTAGCAAAAAATCTCATCTATTTTTCATTTTCTAAAGCATAAAACACATTTTCCTGAGATTTTTTGTGAAAAGGAATGCACGTTCTGTTTCTGTGCAAACTGTATTACCTGCCCTTCTGCAACTGTCTCTGTATCAATGATAGTGATGATCCCAGGCACCAGAGGACTTCGACGAAGGTTGCTATGAGCTAAAATTTCTTCTTCAGTTGCTCCTGAAGGCAGCGTCCCTGTCAGCTGCGTAACTACTTTCCCAACCATTGTAAGTCCAGTCTTTATCGTCTATAAAGAGAAAGAAAACCAATAAATAATATTTTGGGCTGTTTTGTGGATCTATCTAGAATTTTTTCTCCATATAACTAATGTAACTAAATTGTGCACACCAGAAGCACACAAAATAAGTGGTTTTAAGTGATATATAAGCTGCGAAAGGCTCTATGTAACAGAAACATCTTGAAAAAATTTAGCATCCTATCAATTCGAAGTATTCAACTTTATTTTGGAATTAAATGCTTCCAGAACATTCTTGAAAGAAGAAATATTTTCATATCATCTAAGTGTTACATTTTTTCTTTCTTTAGATTTTTTATTTACTTATTCCAAGAGGTACGGAGCATGGATAGTTAATAGAATCAAATGATGCAGCCAAGATGGGTGCATGTGGAGAGCAGAGTTACACAGAGAAGTAGTTCTAGCCCCTAACGATTAATGGTGAAGCAGTTTCTGTCTTCTGCACAAGTGCAAGGGACAAGGAATTCGGCCTTTGACTGGTATGACAGACACATTCACTTGTTTCTCACTGATTATACCTTTTGTAGCATTAAAACTGAATATGGGACTCAAACCCAGCAAAATTAAAACCACCACCCTCAAGGTACTAGAAAGGACAACTCCGTGCAGAGCACACGCATATCCCATTACAAATAACGTGACTTTCCACAGCCTGCATGTTTTCCAGACGTGGGTTTGAAAACATATTCATTGCACCAGCTTTTATTATCTAAAGATGCTGACGATGGTTGTAATGTTTTGTTTTGTTTTATTTGGAGAAAGAGGGAGAATATACACAGTAGGAGAGACATAGGTTTAAAGAAAAACAACCCAAACTACAACTTTAAATATTTTCTCCTTGAACCAAGGACTGTGCCTTATTTGCCTGTGAAGAACTGAGCAGATTTATTATGCAATATAAATAAGAAATAGCGAAGGAGATCAGAACGGAACGACACTGTAACAAGCCAATTCTTAACTAAAAAGACAAGCTAAGCTGCCTGCTAAATTGAAAAGGAAAAAAACCGTACAGATCACAGGCTGAAACCAAGAAGCAGCCACAAATCAATTGCAACTGCTTTGTTTAGTGCTAAAATCTCAAACTGCAGTGATTAGAAAACACATTAGTGTTCATCAATTAGCAGCCAAACGTTTGTTTTAATAATTCATAGGAAATGACTTACACAAAGTCTGTTAGTGTGTTGTCAGGAAAACCTCTGAAGGGCCAACAGAATCAGGCGCCACACTCTATCGATGGCAATATCTGGCCAGGAAGCCTGATTAACCTCTGAGATGCCTCAGCTGATGTACTTACCCCATTAATGCTAATGGAGATACTACCACTTAAAATCGAGCCATGCCTTTATCCTAGGAATGTCTTTGGGGTTTAAAGTCTTCGGTAACATCCTGCCATTTGTTTCTTGTTATTTCTTTTTATACCCAGATACAACGAATAAAACAAATTTCAGCAGTGGCAAATTCAGAAGACTGAAAAACGTAACAAAGCAGATGACGATGTCCGAGGAACAGACCTAAACCAGACCTGATGCCATCACAGGAATGCATTTCAACGGACGCTTTCCTTACAAAAACTGACAAGGCACTTTTCTGGCCAATAGTTAAAATTGTATGAAATGCACCAGTAGCTTATACAGCAGGAAGGAGAAATCTGTATAGAATTATTATACGGCAAAATACCTATGCAAGTCAAAAGACCAAGAACTGTAACTGCCCTATTTTAGAAAACATCTTTAAGATTACAACTGGAGAAACGGGACGACAAAGTGCCAAGTACAAATTTATAGCTCCCTAGAAAAAAAAATCAACATGCTTATCTAGCAAAATGAATTACCATTACAAGCCAGAGGAGACTGCGACGGCAGGACTACTGAAGCAATAGGTGCACAAAGATGTGGCCGAGGCCATTAGCTCAGAAATATCAGTGCGAAACCATTACGGCACTTACTTCTTTGTGCTGTGTGTATATTTGCAAAAACTTCCCTGGTAATCTTTAACCTTTCCCATGCCATATCAGCTGTCCCCTCTATCCATTAGAGCTAATGACCTTGCTCTCACATAAGCTGTTAGTACTCATTAAGAAGTTATCAGGTAACAAGAGAAAACAGATGCAGCCTTTGCTAAATCACTTTACCACTATAGGATTAAAAGGGATGGAGAAAGAATCAACTAAAGAAGTTATGAGGTGAGAAGAACTTGGTTTATAATTTGATGCTAGACATTTGACAGACCAAATACATTTTAAATGAAATAGGTTCAAGTTTGCACTGTCCCAGATCCTTTGTCATTGATGGGAACTGCCAGCGCATACTCAGTGCAATTTTCTTATAAATAAAATAAAAATACTTGATCCAATTCCTTTTGTAAGCAATGATTCACATTGTGTAAACACACGAATTGTTTGTATGCTCATGCATAGCCCATCTACTTAAAAACAAGTCTGTTGACATTCATTCAAATATAAAGAAACACGTATATTTAATTAAAATAAATGTATGCACTCATACCTCACTTAATTGAAAAATAAGTACAGCTTTAATTAGATGAGAAAATTAAAATGCACCATTCAGTGCCTGTTAGGCTGTTTTGTTCCAGAAAAGGTCTTACATCCTTTTAATGACAAAACAATATATTGTTCCTGTTTCTCATAATAAATACATTTTCCATGATTTATTTGCTTACAAATGAAAAATCTATAGAAAGCAGAAAGAGATATCAAAAAGATATGCCCTGGTAATCAACAATATGAAAGCCCCACGGTTTGTTTGAACAAAATGGACATACAATCAATTACAGATTCAAGTTCAAACTAAACGTTTGTTGAAACGTTTCGCAAAGATGTCTCCCTTTCCTGCTCTTGCCGCGTATCCTAACACTGAAACACGACTCAACCAGGGCCATGGTGGGACCAAACCTCTCTTCAATAAGACATACAAAAAAAACCCAAGCATGGAGACATGCGAATGTCTTTTCCTATATCCCCCTTCCTTGCTACATCCAAACTGGACAAATATGGATAATTACTATAACAAGCAATTTCACATTTGGATGCTTATCTCAACCCAAGCACCTGAATATTCTCCCATCACTAATACTGTAATTTAATAATGGGGTTTGTTCTGAAAGATATTCTACGTCCATTCTATGACATTTGTTCTACTGGAGTGAAAAGAATCTTTATCCCATAAGGAACTACATTTTCATTTTTCCAAAAGCATCAATTCTTATCTTTGCTAAACATTAACCTACGTTGGAATCTTGACACATTTCCTATTTCCAGAAATTTTCCGCTTGGCCAAGTTACAGAAATTATCAGATCTTTTTAGAACATGGACAGAAAGCCACCAAATTAATGTGGGGAAATAAAAATTAAGAGATTGAGGTGGAAAAAATGCATGTGTTTTACGAGCAACAGCAGAAAGCAATGCACTTGCAAGATGCATCTAAGGAGAAACAGGAAAAAGTTCAATGTTCAAAATAAAATCCTTCTAGGAATTATAAATTAAATGGGAAGATGATGTAAAGGAATTCTTCATAATGTTACCAGAACAACAAGAGTTTTGGCACCAGTAAACAACACGCTCCATGACCACGGTTTTGACCTCGGTATTGTCGGTTAACAGGGGAGCTTCTGATCCCGAAGTTATTTGATTAAGGAGGAAATTTATTTGCTGCATCCAGTATAGTACACAGCAGCACATCACATGGGGGACAAACCCACCGTTCACTACCAGGACATTCAAAAAGGTTTCTCAGCAAAGGGGGTGCCATCAAAGTAAATATTCTGTACTTTCCACTGAGCCCTTCTGCAGAGGATCTGAAAGGTAATTCTCAAAAGTGACCCTGCTGAAATTACTCTTTGCTCTCAGCTTTATCTTTCTCCTTTGTATGAAGGTTCTTTCACTTCCCTCAATAAGAAATTCGAACCCAAACAGAAAAAAAAAGGCTGTAACCCAAGATGATCTGAGAAAACAAGAACTTCTATGGATCCACTTCTGAACCAAAAAGCAGCAGCGTAGGGAACAGAAAAGGAAATCCACTTTCAAAAAAACTAAACCTCTGATCAAAGCAAATGGATTGCAAACGATTGCAGGCTGATAAGATACAACAGCAGTAGAGGTTTATAAATGAAGACTTAAGCAAGGAGTAAAGTTTATTGAGGTAATGAGATGGACAAAGAGTAACAGATACTTAGGGCATATATTTGCCAACAAGAACATCGGCATATCCGTTATCGGAGATGAAAACTTGCTAGATAGTAAGCCAAGACTCAATGAGATCAGTAAAAATCTAACCACTTCAGATTTAGTGTTGCTCACTCAGACATGAGCAACGAATTAATACAGTAGGACTGAGATATACTCAAATCTTGCAGACATTTAAAACTATATTAGTAATAATCTTGTCTCTTACTGGAACACTAACAGGCAGTCGAGAGCAAAAGCAACGTGCCAGGCAAGGCACAAAGCAGTAGAGAGAGTGTGCCCGTATGTGCCCATTTTCCTGACTTTCACCATTACTTATCTCTGTGCAGAGGCTAACAATCTTTTCTTTCCTATGACTGTTAACCTATTTTATCTTCAGTAGGTGTTCAGACGACACAACATCACTACTTCAGTGTTAGCGTCCGTTCAGCTTAATGTGGGAATTTCTGGATTGTGATCCTTGGCTGGAACTGCTCAGGAGGTAAGGTCATCATCTTGGTCCTTACTGGCTTTAAAACCTAGATATCCAGTCTTTGGGGTAAGGGCTATAAAAGACGTACTCCTTTTTTACTTGTAGGGGTTTTTTTGTCTGTCAAAAAACATTAGACAGAATAGTGCTTAGTCTTTGACGCCTACTGGAATACTTTGACAATCATCATATGGGTTAAGAAAGCTTTGACCTGTTCTTCTTCAGTCCTGTCTAGGCTTGGCTTTGGCAGTACAGTGATCCGTTTGTAAGATTTCACCACATTTGACCATGACTGTGGCTGATCATGCTAAGCCAGTTGGGTTTTCAAACTTATCTGTGTTATAAAAAAACATGTTAATGATGCTGAGGTGGAAAGAGCATGCAGAGATGTTTCCCCCATTTTTATTTTTTTTTTTGCTGATGGTGAAAGTATGCAGCTATAAAAAAACATGTTAATGATGCTGAGATGGAAAGAGCATGCAGAGATGTTTCCTCCTTTTTTTTTTTTTTTTGCTGATGGTGAAAGTATGCAGAGATTCAGGAGAACAGCAATTCAAGTTCTCCTCAATAATGTAAAAAACTGTGATTTTTCTCCTCCTCCAGCCACAGTGAGCTTGTGTCCAAAGCCATGCTGATGGAATATGTTTGGTTTTATGTTTCCTTTTTTCACAAGACGGCATGCCCTATGTCTCTTTGTGGGTTCTTGTAACTGTTGTTTTCTTCGGTGACGCTGAGCTTTCTGCTCTGTGCTGTCATTTAATTCCTATTATTAGATTTGTTTTGTTGTGCATATCAGAAATGAAAAGGCTGGCGGTTACAACGAAAGCTTGTAATCAGCACGAAGCTTGCCAGACAATGCCAAAACTCACTTTGTGTGTGTGTGTGAGAAAGAAATTACTTGGCAAAATGTTGCAGGCGAGTCCTCAAGGAAAGGAGGAGGGTTGGGGGGAATAGTAAAACAACAGTTCTGCATACTCTTTGGCTCGTTTAAGATCTTTCCAAGCTACGGTCGTCTTCTGATACTACAAAAACCCAGATATTTCTCTGAAAATAGGAAAATTATAATGTCCTAAGAACTAAGAAAACTAGGCAGTGGAACCTATATGTAAACAGTCATTAATAAACTCCAACCTTCAAAGAAAGCTGCCAGGTAATTAATTAGCTCCAGTACTGCGCTGTCATCCTTCAGAGAGAATAAAACACGTAACGCTGCTGTGATTGAGTCCGAAAAGCACCGAGCACTGGTAAAGTCAGTTTTCATGATGTTATTAGACTAATAATTCACAATGTTCGTTTCTAATCATGTAAACTTCTAATACTACAAATAGCCATTACACAAATCGATTTTGCTCTGGTTCTCCTGTAACAGGGGTCAGTAATATGAATAGCTGTTTGTAATACATAAAATTTTTTTTAAATCAGTTCAGAAGGACAGGAATACTTTGTGAAAAACAACGGCTACGCTGGGATTCGCAGGGTCAGGACCATACACATGGTGCTAATGCTGCCGTCTTCCTGACTGTGTTCTTCTCTTTTGTGCACGGGGGGGAGTGGGGGGGCGATGACACACAGCACAATTCAGCAGGGAAACCTAATAATTATCTCTCACGATAACCTCTCCCAGCAGCAGATGATGTACTCACTTTGGCAGCACTAATGACTGTGGCAGTGTAAGACTGAATGTTGTCTCCACAGGCTCCACCACGGGATTGATGGCATCGGATCAGCTACAAGAAGACAGACAGCAAGCAAGTAACTACTATTAAACTACACAAACCCATAACCCATTACCATAGCTCTTATTTATCATGTACAGTGGTGTGTTTTTTCCTACAAACAGCAAAAAGCCCTGCTGAGACACTTAACCCCTTTTTATAATCTTCTGGGTGCCACCCAGACTGTCGCGTACTCAACCCCAGTTTTCAATTACAAGATGAGCAGTCACTAAGAATTCATAAACTTCGAAATGGTGGGATTTTTGGTCTGGCAGCAATACCACAAATAAATTTAAATAAATATAATCAAAAGCTTTAGCCATGTATGTGTAACACTAAATATCTGACATTCTAGGAATCTGAGTGTGGCTTTCCCCTCCTCTTTATGACTAGCAAGCAAAGAAATGACAAAGGAAAAGAGCTACTTTAAACTTTTCATTTAATAGATTAAAGGAATGTACATGGAGTTTCCTCTGTATCACCTTCCTTCAAAATTAATAAATCAACAGAAGATTCTTCGACCTGCCATCAACCTACAAAAGCAGTTTTTGCCTTTGAACACTAATACAATCTGTGCTTCTGACTAAATAAAATGGCAAAAAACTATGGGTGTTTGTTGTTTGTACACAGAACACGTTGCCTGTTTAACTGTTTTAGCTAAAAGAAAATTAAAAAAAAAAAATCACTATAAGATGTATCTGTTCCTACATGCATTCTTTCCCTGTTTATATTTAAGTAACTGAATAAAAAACAGTTAAACTGGGGAGAAAGGGGAAATCCACAGTGAATATACCTAGGAACACACTGGCCATTTCAGTTCCCTTTGTGACATAATTCTTTCGCTGACCAGTGGGTTATATTTTTGGCAGTAGGACTTTTCAAATCCCAGGCTGACTGGTGGAAGTTTTACAAAACCACACAGGCACGGCCTGAGTTTGGAAAGAAATCAGTTGTGCTGGAAAAGGTGTACCAACAAATACATTTCTAAAGCCTGCCTCGCTGATAATTCCTGCTTCAGCTCTAGAAACAGCTATTCCAGTCACAGGTGGAAGGGAGAAAACCATCTGCTTTCAAATAAAAATAAGGCATTAGAAGTGCAATTTAAAGTTTTCAAACACTTCAAGCATTAAACACAACCACTTCTCTGGCCTAGGGCTGGGTAAGAACAGTGATAATTGTTTTGCTTGGGATCTATTTTCTTATCTTGCCTCTAGAAATAAGAAAAAATAATTCAACATTTTCTTTTTTTTTTCTTTTCTCCTGGAGACTAACAATTCCAGTAAAGCTGTTAAAAAGTGGTCATTTTAATGCTACTTCCCAATGCACAAAGTGCATTGCCGTGTTGCTTCATACAAACTCACTGGCTCTGTCCAGACTCAGTTTCCCCAAATAGAATTTAGGAATCCTCACTTGGCTGCCTTTCAGAGGTGTCTGTAATTTGGTGCTTTAAACTTTTAAATGCAAAATAGGTTTATTGAGGTTTATTAAATAGGATTATTGAGTGACCTCAATGACAACACAGGTTGATAACCCTCTTCTCTGCCTACACCACATACACACCTTGACCCCCCAGGTTCATGAGCTTAAACCAAATGTGCAGAGAAAAGATGTGACATATATGAACACCAAAGCACAACCAGCATGGGTCAAAGATGAGCTCTGTCATCACTATGCAAGTCCTCTTACAGATGTTTTCCACATAGCTTTTTTTCTCAGGCTTTTTCTTTTCTTTTTCCCCCCCCTATATATATACAAAAGCTAGAACGAAATCTAGAAATAGAGAGAAGTATTTTTGGAAATTAAACCTTTCCTTACCTTATTTTCTGCATAAGCAAGCCAACGGCTTCCAAGAGCAATAGGATTCATGTTTGGCCCTGGACAAGGATAGCAGCCTGAAAAGTTTTAAAAGGCAACATTAAGAAATATCTTAATGACTTACAAAGAATTTTATTTATTGCCAAGAAAACAAAAACCTTTCAATTGCTAATATCACTAAGTAAATGCTTGCATTTTTGTTCCCAGAGATAAGACTGTGGTTAGATGAGCTATTTTGAACAGTTAATTATGTGTAAATACTCATTTCTCCTTAAGTTCGCATTTTTTTAATACCACTTTGATACAGTGAGATGAGGGGGATATTTAAAAGTTTGACTGGATTGGTTCTGTATCTTCATATTTTCATTAATTTTACTTGATTGACATCCTTCTGTTGGTCAACAGTTTCAGTTTGCTTCAAGCTCTTCTAGATTTTTTTGGTATGAAAGGGTGCATTGTGCTTTCGGTTTTGCTTTTAATAACTCTATATACAAGACCTCAGCCTCTCAAAATACTTTTGCACACACTTTACACAGTGAGCAAATTAATTAATTCCTTTAAAAATCAGTGGAAAAGCTTGCAATGTTCACCTGCTTTTCATTATTTTTATATTATAATTAAAAACGTATATATATACACATGCATAGAGATGAACATAAAACAGAGAATTATTCCTGAAGATTAAAAGGTGAAAATACCTATAACAGAAAGCCACTGGAAATAGCTGTGAATAAAAATATAGCAAGGCCTAAAATTAATCAGGCCCATATCAAATGCAATTTCTTTATATAAAATCTGAGTTAAAAACAAAAAACACAACAAAAAAAATCCCCTCCAAAAACAATCACCGAGAATATCACACTACTAAAATTTAAATAAATACAGAATTTTAAGTTATTATGAAAACAATTAGATAAGGCTTAAACATCAATTAAAAGCCTAAGTAATTTACAATTAAAAGTGTCATGGTGACCCTCATCCTGACTGCTATTACTGTCCTATTTCCACGTCCTGTTTCCCCTCCTTTTTTTTTTTTTTTTTTTTCCTCTTTTTGGATTATGTGCTTCGGATGGACGGCTGCTCTTTCCCCATCGGTATGTCACCCTGCCTGTATTTAGCACTCAAATCCTACAGATTTATCCTAACTTTAGTATTCCAGCCCCAGCACCGCAAAGGGCCGTGCTGCGTGGCTCCAGCACGCTGATTGCAGTGGGATCCTTTGTCAAGGTAAGAATCTGAAAGTTCAGGTACTGCAGGCACAGAGATGAAACCACAAAACTGTTTACTGTTTAGGGCCCTGATAACAAGATTTGAGCTTGAGTATCCAAATTTAAGCTAATAAATCAAGGCTTCCGTCACGTGCACAACGCCATTTACGAGACCTAAAGCCATCCTGGTACACTAAAACACAGATAAAAAAGAGAATGGGGGTGAGGAGGAAAGGAGGCGACTATCCAGTGAAGGGTTAATCTCTGTTTTCATCAGTTCTTAGGCTAATATAGACAATTTAGTAATTCATATTCTCTCACTGGTTGGCCAAGAAACAACATTTCAAAAAAAACTCAGACATGTGTGTCTCATTTACCAGAGCCCTGGTGAGCTGATCCTGTATCACAGGCAGAAGGAGCACTGAGATCAGGAAAACAGCATTTTAGAAGAACACATATAACCAACAACTGCAATCTATGGCATAAAATCCTACACTGCATTCTGAGAAACGACATATTAAAAAAAAATATATATATACACAGCTAACTAAGCTTCTATCTCCCCAAGTCTCTGGTGTCAGACTCTTGGTACTGATCCACCAACCACAGAGAGAAAAAAACGAACCTATTCGCCTCTTTTTTGCCAATACCAGAGTCTTTCCATGCAGGTCCCCGAATCATCCAGAACACTGAGTGAGGACAACAGACTTTTAAGTCAGGTGGCATTATTTTCAATGCCTGCAAACGATGAAAAATGTGCCTGGAAGCGTGTTAACGATGGCACGTAGGTGTAAGTTTAAACCGACGCGTGACAACACAAGACATGTATGATGGCATTTTGTGGGGCACGTGCAGAAACAGCTGCTCCACTGTTCATGCTGCCTGAGATAAACAGCCCCTGATTGCAGTTTTTACAGAGGAGCAGTGAGGGTATTGCAAAATTCGAAAGATCACAGCAAGTTATTCCAAAGGTCAGAAAGCAATGGAAGGAGAAAAGCAGCAATTCATCCAATTAAATCCATCTCAGGCCAGGAAAGCAAAACCCAGTGAATATTTTGTAAGGCCTTATCGCTGCCTTGATCTCAGGAAGGAAAACGAGTTCTGCAGAGATGATGCCACAATTGTTATAGCATTCCTGAAGTGCATAAAATGTGGGTAGCCAGAGCCTCTTAAGGAACAAAGCAAGCAAAAAAAGGTTGTAAAAATGCAACCCTCGGTTGTAAATACAAACGTGTTCTTCCGATTACATTATAGATCAGCACCAGTAAGGTTTTAACTCTGACTGCTGCTTCGGCAATTCTTATCTGAGTCAGTAAAGACCTTCAGGTCCCCCAAACTTTACTTATTTTTCTTCCCTTTTACATATAAAATATATCATTAAAAGCTGTCAGATGATAGCCCTCATCATATAAATCTCTACAGGGATATTAGAATCAGTTACTTGCATTTCCCAAACTCTGCAAGCACCTCGTAACATCCTTGCAGCAGAAAACAAAAGGAGAATTAGCCAAAGATGCACATAATGACAAAACCGAAGCAATTCAACAACTCTAACAAAAAGAAACGTCTTTGCTTAGAAAAGGGAGCTGTTCTCAATTACTGCACTGAACTGAAGTAAAGGAAGAACTGCAAAAAGCATTATTCTTCAAATAAAAAATTAATCAAATAAAAAAAAGAAAGTCATCTTCGAAAAAACTGCAGCTGTCTTCACCAAAGCCACGGTAGGTAGTTTGTTCCATGAACTGGACTCAGTCAATCGGACACAGCTCCGCACACAGATCAGCCACTTCCAACAATAACCTCCACCGAGGTCAACGATCCAACTCGGTGCCAAACTCTACTCTCCGATATGAAAAAACAGTGTAAAAAAAGAGCTATTTCCTCCCTTTCTTTTCTTTGCAAGTCTCTGCATTTTGGAAACTTGCAGCAGTACGAGGATAAACAAAGGGTTATACTTTATGGGAAGGAAAAGCAAATTGTTTTTCTGCTTTCCAAAAAAACAGCTGGAGTCAGCAGAACATCATCTACCAGGCAAATGAAAAGACAGACACGGCGTGACCCATCAAGCTCGGCCATCCAATCCTTACCAGCCTCACTCTCTTAAAGATTAACTTCTATTTCTACGAAATTTCCAAACAACTGAGGAAAAATCCAACCTAAGCAACAACAGCAGCAACTTTAGCGTGTTTACAATAGGAAGGAACGTAATGAGAACGCAGAACTAACTGTCAAGAAGACCAAAGTTTCCAAGTGTTAATGACAGCATGGAGAGGTCATCCAAGAAAAGATCACTCAGGGAAAGTCCTTCCAAAAGCACAGCAAACCAAGCAAGCACTAAAAAACATCTGATCTCAGAATAAGCTTCACTGGGACTAACATCCATAAATATATAGGTGAAAACCGACTGGAGACTATTTTAAAAGTTTTTAAGTACACTGTTGCTCTCTCCCTCTGCGCTTGTTAACGACACGCAGAGGAAATGCACCACTTCAAAGCTGTCAAAAAGCAAAAGTAGATGAACACTATTTTGAAGATCTGCATCAAAGTGCAGCTTTCCTGGCTTTTTGATTACATTCCTACGCCCAAGAATTCCAACCGGTGCCAGCTTAGGCAACACTGAGGAATAAGAAACGGGCTCCAGGCTCCCTCCAACCAGAGACTTGGCTAACAGCTGGGATTTCACAGGCAGCACCTTGCCATCCCATATTCCCTGCCTTGTTTTCCCATTTCCAAGACGCGAGTGTTACCTATATCCAAACAGTACCATAGGTAAATTCTTTAGCATTACAATTTCTTTGTTTCTTCCCATCTTTTAAAAAAAAAAAAATCCGAGGTATAAAATTATCATCTGAAATAAGCATACAGTTTGCGATTATTTGGATTCAAAGATGGCTTTAGCTTACTTGTTGCTGTGCTGACTTTATCTATTTGGTTTTACGGAGAATACAGGAATACAAGAATTTACTTAAAGTTCTCTGAAGAGCTATACAAACAGCTGCTTAATGAGCGAGCAAAGCGAAGGCACGTTTACTTTACTTTATTTTTCAATTACTTTTATGAAAATCTCTACCACCCTTTGGAGATTCATATCCATATGCTCATCATAAACCAAATCACCTCCTCTACTCATTTAGGAAACACACAAACATGCACTTCTCTGACTCTGAATCTTTCCATTGATCTATGCTCCTACAGAAAACTAAGGCTCCAGTCCTTTTCTACAATTGTTTTTAGAAAGCTCATCTTCTAGCTTCAGTAACGGCAGTGTGAGCACACAGACAGCAGCCAAGAGGAGAAAAGCAACACATTGCTCCCACTTAGCTTTTCAACAAACAGTGCATCACGGAAAATACTGCTAAGAGGAACAGGCCATTAAGAGTCATGGCAGCTCTAACAGGGATTAAGCCCATAAATCACAAAACATGCCACTATGAAAACTTGAACCATTTGTATTCGGGCAGCTCTTCATCAAGCTTTCCCATGAGGAAAATAGCTTAAAAAAAAAACCCAACAAAAATACATGTGTATGAGTACATATATAAACCCAAAAGCCCAGTATGGGATGGAGAGCTGGGGGCTAAACACTGCAGGGATTCCCAATATCCATAAAAACTTGGCAGTTTGCTACTTCACCTCCAAGCACACAATCTTTGGAATCCCACAGGCAATTCAAAGCCTATGGACATCTAAGCTTTCAACAGCTCAGGTCTTCAGGAGGACCAGAGCCATGCATCTGTTATCCATGGTCCCGCCACGGGTCTGAGCGGTATCTTTGGCTGTGCTCTACGTGTGCCCTTCCCATTGATGCAGTATGGATGATGTACATGCTCTGCACATATACCAAATTTAACACATACCAACATGACTCG